TCTGAATTTCAAAAAGCTCTGTTCAGATGTGATGAAAATAAATAGGCAAGGAAGGAAAGAAAGAAAAGCAACGGTAAGGAAAAATCAAGCTTCAAGATGAAGACAGTTTTTCTGTAATAAAATATTCTTTGCTTTATTCTGTTTTCGATGATAATTTTTAGAGAGGAAAAAATTATTTTTAGTTCTTTTTTATTCTTTTTTAATTCTTAAAAAAACCTAAAAAGCTATGTCAACATCCATTAAAGCAAGCAAAAATTTGTTTACGGAAGCTGTTGGGTTATCTTTGAAATAAACAACTAATTAAATGTCGGCGGTCAACCCAGAATAAAATTCTTTTCTCTTAAAATTTCATCAAATTGGTTAGGATATCTCATCTTCTTTCCTACTACTTTTCCAGTCTTCTACATCCCTTCCTAAAGCATAGAAATGGTGAAAGAGGAAAAGAAAAGAATATGTAAAGAAAATTGAAGAAAAAAAACAGATACAACTAATATTATTTATTCGGTAGAAAATAAAAAACAGAAAAAGCGAGACAAAAAGTTACTGTTACATACTCTGATATTTCTTATAGGGAATAACCTTATGTTTTTCAACGTTTACATTAGCTTCTATATCAGTTGATCGGTTCCTCTTGATCAAATTTCCGACAAAACAGATGCTCACAAAAAATAAAGCATTGCTGCTAATATTGGTTAGTTTTAATTAGTCAAGTTCAAACTTTTGGGTAATTAGCTGCTTATTTGTAGTATTTTTTTTCTGTACTGCTGGTGCTTTTGCTGTTTGATCAAATCTCCAATCCTATTTTCTTCAACTGGTTTTTGTTACTTTTCATTATCGAACATCTACATCGATAACTGAAATCTGGAATGAAAGTACAAATGATCAGTTTTGTTCAGCTTAAAATACGAATTTTTTAGTTACAAAAAAACTTCATCTTTTAAACAGTGATACAAATAAGCAGTGCTTTTGTTATGATCTCTGAAGCGGTAGTTTAAACAGCTTATATTATTATGATTGATAGTGGTCAATAAATATCTCTTTAGATTGATTGAGAACTATTCTATTATTAATCAGTAAATTTTTGGTAAAACGAAGAAAATTTGGAAAAAAAAAATGAACCAAAAATTGGCTAAAAGTTTTGCTACAATTAATGACTTTTTTTGTACATTTTTTTTATTTAAATTAGGCTGCATTTTTTGAATTTTGAAAAGTTTTAATAGATTTATCGTTTTTCTGCTTTCTTTACTGTTTATCTTCTTTCCTTTACCGACTTATAATAGCAGAACAGCAAAGCACTAAGCAGAAAATGACACTCAACAATTTGAAAGAAAAAACGGCTCAATTGCTGTTATCATTTTTTTGGCTCAAAAATTTCAATGGACATTCAATTTGCTGATTGAGAAGAAAGTTGGCTTTTATCTTTCAGTGTAATGTTGTAATGGCTGCATTATTTTCTTCACCGGTAATCTTCAAAATGGGCCTTATTGATGGCCGTAATTTGACGGATACAGTGCCGATCTGTGGTGAATTTTGTGATGAAATTGGTTGGGAAACGGCATATGGTCGTCGTGTTTATGGAACAATATTATTTTGTGTTCAATTTGTTGTACCATTTTCAATCATATTCTTTTGCTATTCATCAATTTTACATACCGTACGGCAGGTAAACTGTTTTTTCTTCTTTTTAGTAGTTTCGTCATTTGCCTTATTGTTTTGTTTTTTTTTAATATGAATCTCTTTTTTCTATCTTAAAATTTGCCGGACTTTAGCTCCCGAATCAGTGAAAAGAAAAAAGAAAAAAACACCGACAAACTATAAAAGTCAAGCAAATTAATCGGTGTTATGGATAAATACCAATAAGATTACTGAATTTAAAAGCAAAAAACTGAAAAAAATTTTTCAATAATTTAATATTTTTGAGTTGTTTCCGTTTTTTGACTTACTGTCGTCATCATCATCGTTTATGTGCGCAATCATTCTTATACAGATACAAATTGCTTAAAACAAACTGAAAAGAAGAGGGAGAAAAAAAATGGATTTTTGATTTTCAGGAATAAAAATTTATTTGCCTTTTAAAAACTTTTTCTTTTCTTTTTTTTTTTCTGTGCATATCTGAGGGGAAAAAAGGTTCAGGAAAAAAAAAGGCAAAAAAAAAGACGATAGACTTTGAAAAAAATTTGATTAACAACCTACATTATTCTTTTTTTTTTTTTTTTTTTTGAGGGAGGGAGGGGAGAGGTTATATACGGGTTGAATAAAATGTATCAAAAATTGATAGGTTATACACTATTTTTAGCAGTTTATTTGTAGCCTTTGAGCGGTTAACCAAATAAATGAAAAAAAAAAAAAAAGATACATCCTATAAAACTGTTATGGGATCAACAGATTTCAATCAAAATTTTGCTATTTTTCCTTTTCTCTTTGCTTACTTGCCACCAGCTTCCTTTATTTTAAGCCTTTTTTTTCTACCTTTTATTTTATCTATTTCCTGTATATTTTGTATTAAAAATGCTGTTAAAAACATTCTAGCATTAAAGCTACATTAATTAGCAGCACTAAAAAAGATAAGCTGTAAAAGCCGTTATTTTTTTTTAGTTTATTCGTACGGGTTTTCTGCTGACTTTTGATTAACAACTTTTTTTCAGAAGTAAACAGAACATCGTTGTGGATATACGTTATTATTACTGACATTCATTTTTTTTTTTTTTTTTTTTTTTTTTTTTT